CTCTGACCAGTCTGGCAAAATCAATGACATAAGTTTGGGGGCGGGGATACCTGTTTGACCGACCAGTAGAAGACAGAGGGATTGTTCAGTAAACCTTTTTGAAAAAAAAAAAAATCATTATTCTTTTTAGTGCAGATTTAGACTGAAATTACAATTAACTGTTTAGTATGCAATTTTACTGGATGATTAGTAAAACGATGTGTTGTGAAGCATGCTGTTTATATTATATAATACAAATTTGAACAAGGGCCAGTCACACTACACTTTTTGTTCCAATGACTGAAGATCAGTGTGGCCTCTTAGCTGAATTAAAAGAGAGCAAACTTTAAATCTGCAGGATTGGAGTGTTGCAGTAAAGTGAAGTAGGCCTAGATAACATATTGTTACATTTTGGATGTATTATTATATGTAGAATTCTGTTTTTAAAAAAGAAAAAAATCATCTTCCGACCATTGCAATGTTTGTAGAAATTTTGTGCACACAAACTAGAGTGACTGTTGAAGAACCTGTCAGTCAAATCTTGATTACAGCTTTAGCTCCACCCACAGTGACCAGTCAGCGCTCTGGCTCCACCCACTGTGACTGATTTTTTTTCTCTTAAAAATAACACACATTCTAATCACACCTTATGTGTCCTTCACTCCCATTATGTAGATTGTAATTGCAATTATGGTTATAATTAGCTATGTAAATGTCCCCGGTTGCTGATTAATCATCAGCTTGGTTTAGGATGTCTAACCTCCTGTGCCTTCTGACAGGTCCAGGCCGCAATCAAGAAGAAGGCGGAGAAACAGAGGAAGCAAGTTGAAACGGGTGTGGTGGAGGTATTTAACAATAATACAAGACCTAAAATGGGACAGAAAAAGAATCAGCCCATCCATCCACCCAGCAGAAGTGGAAATGGTGAGGAGGAAGAAGAGGAGGAGCCTGCTAAGACCGGGGAACCAAAGGAGAAGGAAGAACTCGACCTCAGACCTATCGTGGATTCTGTTTTTGGCCAAGTAAGAGTACACAAGATCACCCCCTGCTGGCCATCATTCATATCCCCTACACATATTGCCATATCATGCTCTTTTAGCTACAGCAGTCTATCTGTGGTCCACTACTACCTTCAGTTTTCACATTTTTTGTTGTGTTGCTAGAACCAGAACTGCTTATATGTTTAATAGGACTGGAGTGGCTATATATATATCAAACTATTACAACTCTGAAGGCCCTAGCAGGTCTTTAGTCTGATGGGTATTCCTTATCCGTGCTCTGTTAGGTGACATTGTTGATACATGATATGGACGGCGCCTTGTTGAGCTCCGCTAACTCATTTCTTTTCTGTTCTAATTGACACTCGCCGTAACAGTAACTGTTGAATGCAAACTTGAAAATCTTGAAGCTCAGAGTTAGACCCAACATTTATTTTGATTAAATGGTAACATAGCCATCGTGATATGTGGTTAGCTGTATATTTCACCTGTACTGTACCCTTGGTTGAATCTAACTGTAGATGCAATGTAAAAAATGTTTTCAAAAACATATCATCATGTTATCTAGGTGTAGTTTAACTGATTTTATTCAAGTCAAAATATTTTTTTTTTATAAATAAATAAAAATAAATACAATTTAAAAATGTTATTTTAAAAGAAATGCAGTCTCTTGGTAAACTTATGAAGTATGCATAGAAATCACTAACCAAAATGTTCTATTCACTTTGTAAATAAAACTGTGCAGTTGTTATATAAGCAGCAATTTCTACTTGACCTGACCCTTAAAACTGACTTTTGCTAGAAAGTTTACTCAAGGTTCAGTTTCACTGGAGCAAAAGCACTCAGGTTGATTAAGTCCCAGTGTTATTTAGTGTTATTCATGTACAATTATAGTTTTATTAATATGTTGAATCATTTTTTCTTTTTAGTTTTCATTTTAATTTGACTTAATTTTTTAGCTAATTAGTAATTAGGTTTTGTCAGTTTTATTAGTTTTATCAAACATTACTAATTCAGTTTTAGTCGCAGTTTAAGTACAGTTTTAGTTTTTTTTTTAATATTTCCAGTTAAACTTTTTTCCAGTTAGTTACAGCATTTGTCATTTTTGTTTACTGCTTGTTTAATTAAATTTTTATTTTTAGTTAATGCTAATAACCCTATTCAGTCATGTTTTTACTTGACTGAAACCGGTTCATGTTACCATATGAAGTACTTTTTTTTTTTTTTGCCTGGCAAAACATTTTTCTACAGTATATACTTTTTGCATATATGACGTTAATATTCTGGGAAGGTACTTGCGTCCCAGAGTGACTTACTTCATTAGCAGATAGGTGGTTAGGTGACTGTCAGGCATGAGATGACAGGTTAAGGAGCTGTCCTAACAAGCACATCTGTCCCCTCGTGCATGGTTCACCTGCTCATGACCTGGTCTTAGCCTTGTGGTGTTGCATTCCCACACTAGGATAACCTTGCATCCAGTGCTAATCACTTGATATTGAGCTTGAATCACCAGCGGTGAGCACACTAGAAACCCAATCTTGCCCACTCACCTTTCTGGAAGAGGGATCATTGCTTGTTATTGTCATAATTATTTAATTGGCTTGGAGACATAGATAGCTACACACTAATTTAGGATGATGCATTCACTGAGTCATTGCCTAAGCTGTGAATTAACATATTTTATTGCTTTTCTTTACTACATGAAGTCAAAAGTACTAAAAGAATAATGATCTATTATAGGCTACACTGGTATTTTTTATTTTGCTCAGTAATTATAATTAGAGCATTCACTGAAACTCTATCCATTAGTTTAAGTCACCTGAGAATGGGTATTTTTTAGATAAAAGAGTTAACACATTTAGGTTGACTAGTCTGACATCTGATTATCTTTAAGTCAATAAATAAAGCAGGGCATTTGAACTGGATATGTGAGATAGGCTACTCTCCACTTAAATGGGTGGGTAATCCAAAGACAGTGTTTTATTTCTAAATCGATTTAATAATAAATTAAATACTACACATATGGCAGTCTTCAGAAACAAGGATCTTAAACTACGGAGAGTTTGATAGCTAGGTTTTGTTTTCCATCTCGGGCCAATTGAACCGTGGCAACAAATTAAGGTGTTTTTTTTATAACCATGAATTTTAATAGTTTCTATATAGCTATTAATGCAGCTTTAAAGATAGTGTAGTCTAAGAAACGGGCTTTCAAACATAACATAAAGGCATATTTAAATTATCATGTACATGTAAACTCAATTTATAACATGTGAGGAATAAAAAACCTTATTGTTATAGAAAAATTAAATGAGTGTTTTAAATATTAAAAACATGTTTTAATATTTGATATAATATAAATCAAATATTGTGTAGACTGGCAGTACCTCCTAGTGGCCACTACTCTAAGATCCTTGTTCTAAAACACTTGTTCTGCATCTCTGTGTAGAGTTTTTTCTTTTTTTCTCTAATGTCAAAGAAAAAACCCCACTGGTTATAGCAGCATAACCTCTGAAAGGATTATTTTTCTTCTGTCCTGTCGTGTCACTCTCTGTCACTACACACAGAGCACGATATGATTGCTATTACTCATTCAGTCTGCATGTGCAGCAGCTGGTGAACACACCAGTCCCACAATGCTCTGCTGCTCATAGAGTGACCTCATCTGACTTGACTTTAATCTGTTGGCCCAAACATGCAGACTCAAATAAATTCCTCCTCATACACACCACACTTGCATCATGATGGTTATTATACAATAAACAGCAGTATTCATCAATTTGCTCATCTTTTTTAAAACAACAAACCTGGCACAGAAACACATTTTAATACTCAAACGTGTATGTGTGTGTGGATTAGAGTGGATTATATTTCTGACAGGCTGGTAACGCAGGGCCGGGTCGCTGGGTTTTAGTAAAAAATGAGTGTGGATTAAAGAACGGTTCTCTGTTCATCTGCCCAAAGGTGTGTTCTGATTAGACTGGATTATCACACACAACTTTAACCTCAGTGTTGAAAAGACATAAACAGTCTCTTTTACTAACCTCTTGTATTCTTAATATTTCTTTCTCTGTCATCTTCTTCGTAATGTTACAAGATAAGCACTCTTTCTTAGTGGTCTACCTATATAACGGCTGTAAAATCTGAAACCACTAACATAAATGCTGCCATTTTTAACACAAATTATATTCTGACCACAACAATTTGAGTAAATAGTTCAGATGAAAAACTAGCATGAATTTCAGAATATCTTACTGTTTGGTTTGTCTTTGTTTTGCTTTAATAGTGGACTCCACAGGTTTGGCTAAAGCCTAATGATGATGTTCTCCAGCATGATTTTGGGATAATCATTTAAGAAGATATGTCTTTGCATGAAAAGTGTCACAAATTGAATTGATGAGTGATCTAGAATTGTTTAATTCACTTCCATTTCATTTTCACTTACTTTTACTTTATTTCCACTACTATTTTTTCTTCATTTTGTGTAATGTTTCTTTGTTTAAATGTTTAAAAATTTTGTCTTGAAACTTGTTTTTGACTTTTTATTTTATTTTTTTATATTAATGTTATATATATTTTTTTTATTACATTTTGAATCCCAGATTTTTAATCTGGTCTCAGACGTCAAAACATTTATAAATTAATTATTAATTATTATTAATTATTTGATGGTAATTGAATGTTGAGCAATACAGAGTGAATTAAATGTACTCTTATTTTGCACCATATGTACTCCAAACTCTCTGAAAAAGAAAAACATTAGTCATTGAAAAATTGCAAAATGGCAGGATATCACCCGATTAATTGACCACTGCTCTTTCTTGCACTTATTATTTATTTCTCCTCGAAACCCCCTGTGCTCTTTATTTCTCCTTTTCTGTACATCATCCCATGCTCTCTGTCATTAATCTGAACTAGGGGGGATTAAAAAAGCTTCTCGTTTTCTCGTCTAATTCTCACCCTCCCCTTACCTCCCCCTCCTGCTCTGCATCTCTCTCTTTCAGCCTGCAAACAAAATCATTTGCATGGGACTGCAATCTGTGAGGAAAGTGAGTGGATAGGGAAGAGAGGGAGAGATGTGGAGATTGATTATATGAGATGTAAAGATGGCAAAAATAGTTAAAAGTATGCTTGTTTTATGAAACGTTAGTGTTATTTGTATTTTGCTTGGTCAGATAGTTATGAGAGGGTCCGAGATGAGAAAGAATGCAAAGGTTTATAGATACATTTGTTAGGCTAGTTTTAGTAAATAAACAATGTGGACTTTAAGTAGCTTTATATGGAAGCAGGTGAGTGCTGTATTGCCAGTCCACTCGATAAATTAATTATATAAAAAGGGTAGAAGAGGAGAGGTGGGAAACGTCTTCACTGAGGACTAAAGCATGGGAAACTGCACCAAGCCATCCATGAAAAACAAAATTAAGAAGGTAAGAGAAACATATTTAAAGGTCAGGGCCTATGTATCGGTGGACTGAGTGTTTGTGTTAATTGTAATTTTGAAATGAGTGTGACAGGAATCATACTTTAAGACTTAATAGCTCGTAGATATATTGTAAAGAAAGTAATCAGTATTTCAATAATATAATATTATTATATATTATTATTACACTTCAGTAGTTTAAGGACATGTCAAACAAATTGACTAAACTGTGCTTAATTAGATTATGTCTCAAGTAAAATGTGGCCCCACCCTAAGGGTGTGGCTGAAGGTAAAGGGGCTGGGCCAGAGGCACCAGGGCCCCACCCACCCGGACAAGCAGATGGAGAAAATGAAGTAACTTCTGAGTTTAAGGGGCCTTTTGTGTTAATTGTAATTTTGAAATGAGTGTGACAGGAATCATACTTTAAGACTTAATAGCTCGTAGATATATTGTAAAGAAAGTAATCAGTATTTCAATAATATAATATTATTATATATTATTATTACACTTCAGTAGTTTAAGGACATGTCAAACAAATTGACTAAACTGTGCTTAATTAGATTATGTCTCAAGTAAAATGTGGCCCCACCCTAAGGGTGTGGCTGAGGGTAAAGGGGCTGGGCCAGAGGCACCAGGACCCCACCCACCTGGACAAGCAGATGGAGAAAATGAAGTAACTTCTGAGTTTAAGGGGCCTCTGAATGCACTAGTCCAAAACTGCACCATGCTACATAACATCGTTGGACCAGCATGCATCTTCCTAAGACAGGGCTTCGCAAAGTCACAGCTCGTATGTACTATGAAAAACTAAAATCAAAGTGTCTCCACATCTACATTCTCCCATGTATTAGTCCAAAAGATCACATCATCTCAGCCATTTCAGCAGTTTTCTCATCATCATTGTGAATCGTCTACATTTCACTCCCTCCACTAGTTTGTTGTAAAAGATCATGTGGACAGTTGAAAGAAATTAAATTCTTTATGTAACCTTAAGGTAGTAAAAAAAAAAAGCTGTTTCAGGTGTGTTGGACAAGCAGATGGAGAAAATGAAGTAACTTCTGAGTTTAAGGGGCCTCTGAATGCACTAGTCCAAAACTGCACCATGCTACATAACATCGTTGGACCAGCATGCATCTTCCTAAGACAGGGCTTCGCAAAGTCACAGCTCGTATGTACTATGAAAAACTAAAATCAAAGTGTCTCCACATCTACATTCTCCCATGTATTAGTCCAAAAGATCACATCATCTCAGCCATTTCAGCAGTTTTCTCATCATCATTGTGAATCGTCTACATTTCACTCCCTCCACTAGTTTGTTGTAAAAGATCATGTGGACAGTTGAAAGAAATTAAATTCTTTATGTAACCTTAAGGTGGTAAAAAAAAAAGCTGTTTCAGGTGTGTTAGGTTAAAACATATTTGTTTGGCAGCCATAAAAACTATGCTACCACTCAGTAGTTGGGGAACTTTCAGATTTTTTAATGTTTTGAAAGAAGTCTCTTATGCTCACTAAGGCCACGTTTATTTGACTGAAAATACAGTAAATTATACAGTTCAATTGTAAAATTGTAAAGCTATGAAATTTTCACCAGGAATTACTCCAGTCGTACGTGTCACATGATCTTTCACATGATCTTAATATACTAATTTATTACTCAAGAAACATTTATTATCAATGTTGAAAACAGTTTTCATACATTTTTTATAAAAAATTTTCAGGATTGTTTATGTGTGTGTGTACTGATACACATGTATATATAACAGTTGCTTCTGGTCCTTGAATCTGATTGGCTTTCATTTTTACATAAATATATCTGTTACGGTAAATATTTCACCCATATTTTGACATTTTATTTTCAAAAAAGTTATTAGAAACATTATATATATATATATATATATATATATATATTAGTGCTGTCAAACGATTTATCGCGATTAATCACATGCAAAATGAAAGTTTTTGTTTACATATATATAAAATTTTATCCATATAAAAAATTGTCCCTTGTTGAGATGGATGACACATTTTTACAATGCTTTTGTTAAACAGTCATGTGAGGATACTCGGTTAACTAAAGGATTTAGCACTGGATTTGTGGCATATGTAATCCACTGGTTTATACCAATGTGTGTGTGTACTATATGGTATTGGGTATTATACACAAAGCTGTAAATGGAAAAGAGAATCAACTGTGGGATTTTCTCATATGGCACTCCGTTTAACCTCATCCGCTCTCTGGACAATGTGTTGCGTCTTTCTCTGGGTCCTCCTCAAGTTAAACCCCCCAAATCTTCTTATCTTTTAGCTGTTGCCAGGCAACTTTCACTGTGTAATCTAGTGGCTACCCATGTCACGACATTATTATACACTGGAACCAGTCCTCAAACTCGCATTTTGTCCAACTTTCTCATTTCCACATATCCACCCATATGTTTAGTTTGAGTCTGCTTGATGATTCAGAGAGAGATAATGTCAAACAGAGACGTCTTCGAATGCATCAGTGTTTAACATCTTACTATGTGTCTTGATTTAACAGGACAGGGAGCTGCGGCCAGAGGAGATAGAAGGTATTCACAGAAAGCACACACCTCACATAAGATTCAGATTGGAAAACATCATGTTCATGCATTTCATCACCTCTATCCTTGTGTTCATGCAGAACTAAGAGAAGCCTTTAAGGAGTTTGATAGGAACAAAGGCTACATCAACTGCAGGGACCTGGGCGAATGCATGCGGACGATGGGATACATGCCAACAGAGATGGAACTCATTGAACTGAGTCAACAAATAAGTGAGTTACTTCATCACTCAGAGAGCATGATCTGTGTGCCTTCATGCAAACATTATTTTGCTGTATTATAGTTCAAACGTCTGAGATCATATTAAAAATCTGGGATTTTGAAAATGTAGGATTTTGAAAAAAATAAAAAAATTAAATATAATAATAAATATTAAATATTTGTATTAAATTAAAGATATATTCCTGTATTTTTTAGGTGGGGGTAAAATTGACTTTGAGGACTTTGTGGAGCTCATGGGCCCTAAAATGCTGGCAGAGACAGCAGACATGATCGGAGTCAAGGAGCTCAGAGATGCCTTTAAAGAGGTAAACACACTCACTTACACATGTACCACTGTGTTGACTGCAGCCATCAGTGTCCTCACCGGCAATTTCCCGCTGTGCAGTTTGACTCCAATGGTGATGGGAAAATCAGCATCATAGAACTGAGAGAAGCCATGAAAAAGCTAATGGGGGAGCAGCTGAATCCCAGGGATATTGACGATATACTTTGTGATGCCGACCTCAATGGGGACGGACTTGTTGATTTTGAAGGTAAAGGAATGATGGACAAATAATGACAAGTAAGGCTGATGTTACACGGGGCAACTTTTTGAGCAATTTTGCTTGGGCACTTTCCCATTGAGAATGGGTGACAAATTTCTATGTGGTCGTGGACCCTGTGTCTCACCTTGTTGCCCGCTGATGGCAACATTGCTCAAAACATTGCCCCATGTATCATCAGCCTAATACTTGCTTTTCTTAACATTTTTAGTTTACCTCACTGAATGTTCTTTTCTGTTTTCTTTTTTTGTTCTTCCTCACTCAATCTTCCAGAGTTTGTGAGGATGATGTCACGCTGACAGAAGCCACACAGAAAGACTTTATTTTCATCACGAGACTCTAAGAGGGACACATGGTGCAGCTATCTGAATGTTTTCGATATGGCTCAAGAGATACCATTTGTAAAAATTACTTTTCATTTTATTTATCAAGTAAGCATTATTAAGAGCAGTTTCTCATTTCAATAGAGTAATGTTGTAAAGGTACTGTTTAGTTGGTATTTTCAAAGATATATTTGTCTGATTATGAGTGAACTGAATTTGTATAGTGTGCTTCATTTAAAAAAATAATAAAATAAAATCATTTGATTAAAGTGGTTTGTTAATTGCCTGTTATGTCTCTTCTTATCATAGCGCGCAGACTATTTGATTACCTATGAAATCAATTAAAACTTTTTTTTTTTTTTGCAAAGTTGTGCTTGTAGAAATAGAAATGGTAATGTGACGTGTCCAGTTTACGTCATTGGCATCATCTGATGAAGGGTTGTTGACCCTGCAAACAAGCCAGCACCGGCCCTTTACGGGCCCACTTAGGGCTAGCCTAAGGGCCCCCAGCGGGCTGCCAGCGCAGGGCCTCTGAGATTTTGCTCATTGGCAAAACGTTGGCCCCTTAGTGCTGGCCCTGCACGGGCAGCCCTCACTTAGCCCACACTATTAATCTACAACAGGGGTGCCCAACCTGGTCCTGATCAACACACCTGAACCAACTAACTAGGATCTGAAGGAGTACTTGATAATTACAGACAGGTTTGTTTAATCAGGGTTGGAACTGAACTCTGTAGGAAGGTAGATCTCCAGGAACAGGATGCACCCCTGATCTATAGCAATACATCTGTTTCACTTTAAATACTTTTCAGCCACTATAATTTAAGTCTTTAAGTCTCTGTTTAAGAAAAACAGCTATTATACATCTGAAATGGATGCAGTCACCACATAACTAATGTCTATATTGTCAAAAATGTACAGTAGTCAAAGGGATTTCAAATCAATGGATTTAAATACAAAATAGAAAACATTCAATTCAGGTTAATACAGCTACATATAGGCAAAAATGTAAATACACAAAGTACCAAAAAAAAAGCAAAAAGCAATGTAAGATTGTAGGATTTCGTCATGTGAAAGTTGATGTGTGCGAAAGTCTTATCTGTTGTACATCAATGTTCAAACTGTCCATAGCTGAAGTTGGCTGATAGCAAATGAAACAGCTCTCAAACACCAGACTCTTCCTAACCAGGAACAATCAAAAATAGTCCAGACCATGGTCTCACGTCAAAAATAACTTTAAATCCATATTCAAACTAGACCATGATGTGGTGTCCTCACCAATAAAGAATCCTTCTAAAATGCATACAAATACAGTCTTAAACTCTTAGCATCAATCCAAACACAGGCCATACATACATGTAACATCTCTGCAAAAACATCAGCAATGTACACTTTTAAATAGCCTCCTTCCGACAAGCGCAGTCTGCTCTGATTGGCCAGCTGACCCAGTGCATTGTGATTGGCCGAACACCGCAAGCACTCGTCGGAAATGTAACGCCCCTTACCATAATCGCGAGCTTCATCTTTCAAAATAAATGTAAAGACAGAGCCCGAAAGGGGAACAGAGTCGCGTGACAGACACAGTGATGAAGCTGGTATGTGTTTGCAGTACACAAGCCACGGTTAAGACAGCTGACTCCACTGTGATGTGTCTCTCTCTCTCTCTCTCTCTCTCTCTCTCTCTCTCTCTCTCGCTCTCTCTCACTCTCGCTCTCTCTCTCTCTCTCTTGCACTCTCTCTCTCACTCTCTCGCGCTCTCTCTCTCTCGCGCGCTCTCTCTCGCGCGCTCTCTCTCTCACTCTCTCTCGCGCTCTCTCTCTCTCGCGCTCTCTCTCTCACTCTCTCGCGCTCTCTCTCTCTCTCTCTCTCTCTCTCGCTCGCTCGCGCACACACACACACGATGCGCAAAACTCCGCATTTGAACAGTCAATAGCAAATACTTAAAATAATAACAAAACAGTAGCTGATTCAGAAGCGCCAGTTTGTCATAGCAAAGTCAGAATTACCTCCTCTCCTAGGTTCACGAAACGGTCGTCCATAAAATGCATTGCTGTTCTGTTGTAAGTGATCCAAATAAAGTGCTTTTGCTTTCGCCTAGAAACACACAGTGTCTCCCTGACATGCTGCTTCAACACTAACTGCGGTTACTGACACCATGCCTTCTTTCTTTGCGTGCACATTTGCGGCGGGATTATGCAAATATTTCCACATAGTGGGGTAGATATGTGGGGGCGTGTTAGAATGAGCCGTTTTAGGGGGGCGTGGCAGAGTCTTAACTTTGATAAAGAATATCTCTTTGGTTTTGAGACTTTAGTCTTTGCAACTTCAGGGATCTTATCTATGCACAATCAGCTTGTAACACTCCAAAGAGAAAGGAAAACTTGAAATCGCATCATATGACCCCTTTAACAGGCTCATGTCTGGCCCACACTGGGCCATCATGGAATTAATGTGGGCAGTCCCATAGTGTAGGCTGCTCACAGAGAGGCTGCGGTGAGCCCAAAGCTGTGGGCCTCGCCTGGGCAAGCCCACACCGGGCCTGTTTAGGCTGGCCCTAGCCCACTGTGCCCGCAAAAAGCCAGCATGGGCCCCGCAAGGACATGTTTGCAGGGGAATTGCAGTGACAGACTTTCTTTTGTTTGGGCACACTTACCAGCCCCTTGGACATTTGACGGTCTGACTTGTCTTTTTTTTTTTTGTAGAGACACAAGTGGTAATGTGAAGCGTCCTGCTTGCGCTACTTGTAGCATCTGACTCTGAACTCGGACAGAACGGTAGACTGGATAAAGACATTTAAATCGGACACGTCATTTTGCACCGTCTGGACCACCGCTTCAGTTAGGCCTATTAACAGTGCACTAAACGATAAAAAATAGCCTATAATTGGTGGTGTGCTTTATGGTTGAGGGCTCAAACGTAAGAATGAGTGTATGGGGATGCACCATATTTTAAGTTCACAACATGCGCGTTCTTGACGTTGAGGGACAAATGTTATTTCTTAGATGAAAACCTATAAAAGGCGTTCTGTAAAATATGTATATACTTTTCTCTCTCCTTAGCCATCACAAATGACTGTGATTGGGCCGTCAAACCAGCGATGACACAGGTATCGTGTAGTAGCTACGTCTATCTCCAGCAGCGTTCTGGAACATTTACAGAATAATGACAGTTATAAACTTTAATATAGGCCTACACTAGTCTAAACTGAATATAGCCTAGTATCCAGTGATGCTTTAAAATAGCCTAGCAGAATTATTATTAGTGTTTTTTGACCATTCTACATCAAAAGTATTATTTCTGTTTTATTCGCCTATATTTATGTAAACGAATGATCTATAGCCTGCCTAATAGAGAACTTTTTATGTATTTGTTAAATTTATATTAGACCAGTGACATAAACTCAACAAACGCGTTCCCGTGTAGTGCAGATGGTGGCTGGGTCTTGAAAAATAGACAGCAGCTCACATGCTGTAGCCTACATGAAAACAAAAATTCGAAAACTCTATTTTCCGTAAATCTAATTCAGTATATATTTATATCAGATAGATGCAGTGATGAAGGGGGTCCAATAAACATCCAAGATGGCTGCTAGTTGATGTAAAATTATTTCACATATTACATAGTTATATTAGGCCTAAAATAATCTAACATAATTAAAATGCTAAAAATGAGGATGTAAGCCTACAACATGTAAACTAACATTATGTTTCACAATCGTATGAAAATTCACTACTGTTTCGCCTTCCTATTACTGCAAGTTTCTCAAGATTTTATTGACAGCCATGATGACGGATTCACAAAGACAAAAGTCTGGTATCAAGCTTTTAGCATTTTATTCAAAAGGTGACCAGGATTCTGTACAGCGGGCAAAGGGAGATTTCTAGGGCACAGGAGCTTTCCTCTCCTCATCCCTTCATCTCTCCCTCTCTCTTTCCATCTTCCTGGGGAAAGGGGGATGTGAGCCGGGGAAAGAACAGATGACAAAAAATTGAAATAAATTATGGAAGGAAAAAAAGAAACCATGCAGGAGAGAAAGGAAATAGGGAGGAAGAGGGAAGTGTTTTTATTGGTGCCTCCGTCCCAAACAGAGACACTCAGAGGCCTGGGAGAATCACAGCCCCACTGGGCTTTAACAGCTCGACAGACACAGACTGCAATGTGAGCCAGGGAGTCTGTCATCCCAAAAACATCTGCCCCTTCATAGCAGCAACACAGGGAAGATGCAGCCTCTCAGACATCTCTCCTCCTCTCCTTCCTCTTGCGCCCCTCTCCCTCTACTCCACCTCCCCTCTTCCTCTCCTGGTCTGGCCTTCACTTGCTGGCCATGGTGTAGCAGCCGTGTGGGTGCCACTGCATGTCACGGATACGCCTCACAGACTGAAACTGAGGGCAACGGGCGCCATACTCGTTAAAGTGTCTGTATTCACCCTTCTCCAGCAGGTACTGGCTGCCACGGTATCCAGGGTACTGATAGCCCACCCAGCTGAAGAAAACAAAGAGGTTAGTTTGTGCACCCTTGATACTGTACTAGGTGTAGTATTTAAACCAGGGTTAAACTAAAACCATTAAAAAAAACTTTTTGTAAATAAAAAAATATATTTTTTACAATATATTTTTTAATATTTTAAATTATTTTATTTCAGCTAGTTTCCAAAACAAAACATCTCTTTTTCATTTAGTTGTACTTGATGTGCTAAAATAACTAAAAGTAAAACAAATAAAAATGACTAAAAACTACATAGACGTTTTAAAAAAAACTAACTAATAACTTAATAACTAATAATAAAATGAAAATGAAAACTATAAATATAAACACATTTTCGTAACTAAAATATAAAAAATAAGTAATAAAATAAAATACTTTTTTTTACATTTGACTTTTTTAGTTAATGCACCCTTGATTATACTATGCATAAACTAATTTATATATTTAAACCAGGGTTATTATAGTACACAAAAACCATTAAAAAAAGATTTTCATAAGTAAATAAAATATTTTTACAATATAATTATTTTATTTCAGCTAGTTGCAAGGCAACATTACTATTTTTCAGTTAGCTTAACTTGATGTAAAATAACCAAAGCTGAAATAAAAATGAATAAAAACTATAGACTTTTTTTTTTTATCTAATGATTATGACAAAAACATTAAAATGTAAAAACTTAAGTTAAAATTAAATAAATATATGAAAAATGTACATATAAATATAAATATAAAAACAAATAATGTATTAATAAAATATCTAAATTATGCATCTAGTATCTTAAGCATCTTGTTGTGCAAGATATGTTATTGTTATATCTATCTCTATTATTGTTATAAAGTATTACTTCTAGTTTACAGTTTAATAAGTTCTTGACAGCCACATTGTCAATATTGTCAAGCATTTGTGATGGCCACAAGTGCACAGAGGTTTGACCGAGTGAAATCTCACTGGCTAAAGATACTTTGCACTTACGTTCCACAGCTGACCATGATGCTGCCAACTCTGTCGGTGAATCCGTAGGAGAACAGGCTAGGAACGTCATCATCCATGATCTCCATCTTGCGGCCCTTGTACTCGCCCACCTCATACAGGCAGATCTTGTGCTTCTCAGGGTCCTGCAGGAGAAAACGCAATGAATGCATTGTGAAAGCATTCAAACAATGGGCCTACAGTTGTGAGAGCATTTACACACCATTCTGACGGGTCTGAAGGAAAGCAGGTAGTCGTTCTTCTGGCAGTTGCTCCAAGAATCCCAACGAGGATACTCACCCTTCTCCAGGATGTACATCTCACCGCAGAAGTTCATCTGCTCAAAGCCCACAAAACTGCAGAGGGCACATAAAGAGGTGAGTGAGATATGTTATTCTTTGTAAATCACGAGTGTTTAATATAGATGCAGAGATGCTTACGGGCCACACTCCACACGTAGTGAGCGAACTCTGTCCATGCCCATTTCACAAACATTCATGCATTCAGCGTTAATCTCAATCATGCGTCCCTGGAAGTTTTCCTGGTCGAACACATACATCTAATAGAAAAAGAGAAACCTATTATTATCATATTAAATCAATGACCAAGCAGAATTGCACATGTGTATGTTTACCCTGTAGGACATCATGCCCATCTCGGACTTCTTGCTCTGGGCTGCCTTGCCGTCGGTCTGGGAGGCAGTCTTTTTTTCTCCACTGGAAGACATGGCGCCTGAGGTAAAATTAATAATAGAATATAAAAAGAAAGAATATTCATATAACTGTAATATACCTCGGAAATGAGAGATAAAACGGAGAAAAATTCATAAAGAAATGGCAGGGCCGACCACTATAATATACAGTATTTGATGCTGGAAGAGAGGGATGAAGTGTTTTAGGAGATGAAAAATACAAAAAACATATGTTTGGAATGGATGTAAGGGGTCTTTGGGGGAAACTATTTTAAAGTGGTAGGGACAAAGGGAAGTGTGGGGTGTTGGTGTTGATGATGGTGTTGCAAATCAAAACTTGCCTCTTGTACTCTCCAAGCTGTTGGGTTAAAGTTTAATGTGTATGTGTGAGTGGATATTTTGATGTCTTACCTGTGTGTTCAGTGAGTGTGTGTCCGTACCCAGGGTTCACTCTGAGAGTGTTTGTGTCTGACCGTGCTCTCAGCTCTTATACCCTGGCGCTGAGTCTGTGCGGATTACACTGAAACAATGAAACATGCCGTGTTCAGCAAACTCACAGAAAAGAAGCCCCTCATCATCAGCACAGAGTGAGAAAGAGAGTGAGAGCCAGAGAGGAAAATAATTCAGCAACCGAGTTCCAACTTCAAACTTGTCACCACACAAACTTGGATGTTTGAGCCTAATACATAAGTAATATGGGGGACATCTATTTTTAGAGAAACTGAAATTGTAATAAATGAACTAATAACTAACTAATAAATGAAGGTGACAATTTTTTATACCACTTTACCAATGATGTAACAGTGGTTTACACAGTTTTTATATTTTCAGTACATTTTGTGCTAAGGATTTATCACATATGTAGTATTTCATTTAAAAAAATAAAATAAAATAAAAAATAAATAAAACAATAAAATAAAATAACACTTTGTCATCCTGTACACATACGCAAAATATGGTTGTTCTACAAATCATTATATAAATAAATAAGAATAAATAATAATTATTATAACAACATGCAAAAATCTAAAATAAATACAATATAAATGTTTAAAAACATTGATTAACCGAAAACTTTAGTGAACAATCATCTGTTAATTTAACCTCCTGAGACCCTGCATCCTCATATGAGGACATTATATTTTAGTGTATTTCTCTGAGACTATACATGCCACAGTTTTAAGATGTCCTGTTCTGGATGTCCTGTACAGAGCACATTCAGGGCTTTTCAAAGATATTAAATGTTTGGATGGTTCACTATGACCACTCCTTCTCTTTGGTCTTCAAATATGTCTGATATTAATTTAGTGACACTCTTATGGAAATATGACCCGTTTATGGCCATTTTACACACATTTTGCAGAAAGAAAAATGGTGTATCAAATCATTCTGTTATAACATAGTTGAGAATCATCTTTATACAAAGGTTGGTAAAAAAAAAAATCCTGAAAACTAAAAATGTATTGGTGATTTAAAAAATCAATTGTTTTTGCCTATGCATGTTCATTCATCTTACATCAAAAAAAAAAAAATTGAGTCCCGGTGTCCTCTACCGAGGACATAACATAACTTATGAATGAAATATCATAAAAAAAAATTTAAAAAATCTTTTTTTTTTATGCTCTAAACAATGTAAAGACATGAAAAAAAAATATTTTTTTCCCTAAAAATCTTTTCTCGGGTCTTAAGAGGTTAACATGAATAGGTTGAACATGTTCCCCTTTGGGTCAGTTATGGGTTCGACCATGTTTTGGGCGTATATTTATAAAGATTTACTTTTACCCTTCTGGTATCTTATAGCATTCAAGGCAAGAGGGGATGATTTTAAAAGAATTGAAACTAAATGTAGAGCTGACTTGGGTTCAGCAGATACACAGATCCAACAATCTTTGGTCTCCCCAGTCTTAAATGTTACATCCTTGCAGCTAAAATGGTAACTTGCATGAAAACTGAACTTTCCTCACTGCTCCCACAGCAACTCAAACCCACACTCAGCTAATCCTGGTGTTTTACGCTCATTGTGAGCAGGAGTGCTGACCTGCGCGAACATACTGGGACCAAACCCTTTGTGTGCCCTGCTTTCACCCAAAACACTGCACTGCACTTGCCAGTGAATGGGCTCACAACAGCCATGTGGCACTTCTATAGTATGTGCTGAGCTGGCGACCCTGTGGTCTGTCCCGCGCGCCCTTCAGAACGTACCTCACGCGCACGGCCCGCGGCGGCCGGTATAAAATCGAAGCGCCAGGTTCTCTCAAAGCTCCACGTGAAACTGGCGGTAAGGCGCGTGCCACACTCGAGCTCAGTGACTAAAACAGTAAGATCCCAAATTACATCTCACGGAGCTCATGGCACAATTATAAATTTAGTATGGTCTACTTTACAAACATCTTCTCAGTATGGCCACATTATGCGAATGGTTTTGATTTATTTAAATCTAACAATTGTGTTTACATTTTATTACTAAAATAGCTATTTTATTAATAAAACAACGAATTCGAATCTAATACATCGATTATTGTATGTTTTAAGTAACTTTAAAACTGTAATAGGCTAATGATAAAGAACACAGTTTACATATAATAGCCTACGTTGTCTTGTTCATTACTATAAACATATGAGTGTTAGCTATTTATTTGACTTCATTTTACAGTTTGCATCTAATATCATTGGTATTTATTATGGTTTTATTTATTTATTTGTTTATTATTATTATTATTTTTAAATATTTTAGATATAAAGATGTATAGGTTCAATCGATCCACCATGATGCAGCCCATGATCAACTATGGCATGGGAATGGCTCCTTTCTTCAAGGTAAACTGCCATTAACACACACACACACACACACACACACACACCAACCTGCTCACTCGCACTCACACACACACACTCGCACTCACTCGCACTCACTCACTCACACACACACACACACACACACACACACACACACACTTTTAGTCCCTTTTGAAATACCCAGGACTTTAATATATATATATATAAAAAAAAGTTATTATATGCATGCATCTAATAGATCAATAGAATATGGTATGAGGAATTTTTGCATGTATATTATAGGAAAACACTTTAAAAAACCACACCACAAACTTAACCTTTGTGCTTTTGTTCTGCTAGGTAACTGTGTTTGAGCAGGAACACTTCCAGGGAAAATGTCAGGAGTTCACCTCAGAATGCTGCAACATCCAGGAGTGTGGCTTCGACAACATCCGTTCTATTCGCGTTGAGAGTGGCGCGTAAATTACAGCGTTTGTTAACTGAATACAGTATGCACTAGGGAGTTTTCATCTAACTGTATGCCCATGTTTGACTGGATGTTCTCTCTTTCCATAGCTGGGTGGGTTATGAGCACCACGACTTCCAGGGACAGCAGTTCATCCTGGAGAGAGGAGAGTATCCTCACTGGGATGCCTACAGTGGAAACCTGTCATACCACGTGGAGAGACTCGTGTCTTTTAGACCTGTCTACTGTGCTGTGAGTTATTCCCTCCCTTTTATGTGCTAGAAATCTTAAAGGCATATAGTATTTTGTGCTGGCTAATATGTAATATTTATTCAGCAAGTGTCCATAACAGGATTTATTGAAATAAAGCAAGTTGCATTGGACTGGTCATGTGATCTCAACTTGGCAGCCTCAATAGATCAACTAGTTGAGATTGGCTATATTGCTTTATGCAAGCATACTGTATGTATTCAGGTAAAGTTGAATGTACTTATTGGATATACTGGTATGACTGGAGTCTTCCTCTCAAGTGATTATACATAATTTTAACATATTGCTTCAAAAATATTATTTATGTATTCACTATTTATTTTAGTACTATTTATTAATCTCTTAACCTTTTTTAATGTAAAAAAAACCCCTCAGATCCAGTCCATCCGCAGAATCCAGCACTAAGAGCTCAGGCTCACCGGGGGACACTTCACCGATCACCCTGCCGCCCGACAAACACACTTTAAACATACACATGCTCACACTGTTTTTCCTAACGAGTGTCTTTTTATTGCTAGGAACACACACATCTACACGGCACACATACCATCATGTTTTACACGAGGGTGCCAATCAAATTTCTGACTATGACTAATGTCAGGTGCTAAACAACACCCTCTGGAGGTGCTCCACACAACCAATGCAAACCAAAGCTAAGTTAGGCCATATCCCTGGAGGGGGACTGGCTGAGAGCAGCTCAGGTGTAATGTGTAGGAGGACGACAAAAACATCACAGACAAATAAATGCTTAATAAATAAACTTGTGTTCACTTCAGTGACTCAGTTCTGTGCAATTATTGTGTGTGAGTTACAAAAAGTACATTCATTTCATTATAACCAATCCATAAGGCAAGGCAAGGCAAGTTTATTTATATAGCACATTTCGTACACAATGGTAATTCAAAGTGCTTTACATAAAATAAAGTAAAATAATCATAAAAAATAATCACAAAAATAAAACAAGGAATTTAAAAACTTTGAAAATGATTTAAAAATTGATTTAAAATGAATTTAAGACAGTTAAAAAAAGAAAATGATTATACATACATAAAATACAGTGCAATCAGTTCGGACATTTTGGAGATAAGGCTAGGTAAATCTGGGTATCATCTGCATAGCTGTGATAGGCGATTTGGTTCTTTCTCATTATTTGACTTAGTGGGAGCATATACAGGCTAAACAAGAGTGGTGCAAGAATTGAGCCTTGTGGGACTCCGCATGTCATGGACGTCCACTTAGACTTATGCTCTCCTATACTCACATAATAACCTCTCCCTTCTAAGTATGACCTGAACCATTTGATTGCCATCCCAGAAAGCCCGACCCAGTTTTCCAGTCTCTCTAGTAGTATGTTATGATCGACAGTGTCAAACGCAGCACTGAGATCTAGTAGTACCAGCACTGATATTTTGCCAGATTCAGAATTTAAGCGAATATCATTTATTATCTTAATGAGCGCTGTCTCTGTGCTGTGATGCGGTCGGAAACCAGATTGAAAATTGTCCAGGTATCCATTTGAGTTTAAGTATTTGTTCAGCTGATTAAAAACTACCTTTTCAATAATCTTAAAAGGAAGATTTGATATTTGTCTACAATTGCTCAAAATGGTGTTATGAAGATTGCTCTTTTTCAGAAGGGGCTTAACAACTGCAGTTTTCAGGGAGTTTGGAAAAGTCCCAGAAAGAAGTGAGGCGTTCACCACTTCTAAGAGATCTGCTTCTAAACAGTTAAGCACCCTTTTGAAAAAATATGTGGGAAGTGTGTCAAGATAGCAGGTTGACGATTTAAGGTGCTGTACTATTTCTTCCAAAATTTTGCTATCAATTTCTTCAAAAACAGACATAGTATCTTCTTTTTAATATTGCGGTCGAATCTGTCTGACCTCTGCATAACTTGAGGATGTACTAATCGCCTTCCTGATATTAATGATCTTCTCAGAAAAGAGGGAAGCAAACTCATTGCATTTGCTGTCGGAGAGCATTTCACTGGCAATCTGACTTGGGGGGTTTGTCAGTCTCTCAACAGTAGCAAAAAGAGTGCGAGTGTTGTTTAAGTTACTGTTTATAAGGTTTGAGAAGAATGACTGTCTAGCTTTGCCTAGTTCCACATTGAAAGCACGAAGGCTGTCTTTATATATGCTATAGTGGATTTCAAGTTTCGTCTTCCGCCACATCCGTTCTGCTTTTCTGCATTGTCTTTTCATACTCTGAACTGCTGTTGATTTTCTCCAAGCTGATTTCTGTCTGCCAGACTTCTTACTGACTTTTATAGGAGCAATATCATCAATAACATTCTTAACTTTTGAGTTAAAGGAATCAAGGAGAAGATCAACAGAGTCTGCAGAAATGCTTGGTGTTAAAGATATAGCCTCCATAAATAGCACACTAGTGTTTTCGTTAATGCATCTCTTTCTGACAGAGACAGATCTAGATTCAGTGGTAACAGAGATCAATATATTAAAGAAAATACAGAAGTGATCAGATAGTGCTACGTCCTTAATAACAATGGATGAAATGTTTAGACCTCTACTGATGATTAAATCTAGAGTATGTCCACGATTGTGTGTGGGTTCATGCACATGCTGAATCAGGTCAAAAGTGTTTAAAACAGTTATAATTTCTTTTGTAGTTTTGTTTTCTGCATTATCTATGTGAATATTATATTATAAATCCCCTGCAATAGCAAAACAGTCAAACTCTGAGGAAATCATTGATAGCATTTCTGTGAACTCTTCAGCAAAGGCTGGAGAGTATTTTGGAGGCCTGTAAATAATGATAAACAGAATGCGTGGCGCACCTTTCAACACAATCCCTATATATTCAAAAGACAAGTACTGACCAAATGACACTTGCTTGCATTGATAGACGTCTTTAAATAGAGCAGCTACACCTCCACCTCTGCTAACAGTCCTGCAAACACTCATGAAAGTAAAGTTAGGAGGGGCTGTTTCATTGAGGACCATTGCACTGCAGCTGTCTTCTAGCCATGTTTCGTTTAGAAACATAAAATCCAGGTTGTTTGTGGTTATTAAGAAGATATTGTTTGTTTGTTTTGTTTTGTTATTTTGAGGTGTTCAGTTTTATTTTGGTTTTAGAAAATAAACGTGTTTGCTCTGCTCACAAATCAACTCTTTCTTGTTTTTGTTTCATGCTCTCTGTGCCTTGCCCTGGACTTTTATGTCACTTCCTGTCTCCCGTGGTGTTTGTAGTCAGTTTGTAGTCTGTTTGTTCATTGGTTCCCCTTGATTAGTCTCCCCAAGTGTGCCTTATCTTGTTTAGCTTGTTAGCCCCCTGTGTGTATATATAGCCCTAGTTTTTCTTTAGTTCCTTGTGAGTTGTTGAATGTAATGGTTGTCTGTTTGCCAGTCATTCTGTTCTTTGCTCCCTTTGGTTTTTGGCTTATTGTTTGTTCTAGTTTTTCCATGAAATACCAGCACATAGATCCTTGCCTCTGCCTGTTTTCCGCAGCTTCTCCACAACGTTACAGTTTTTCACTGGTATGTCTCTTTGACTAGTGCATCTTTGAGCCTATATTTAGTATAAGTAAAATACTTAAGTACTGTTAAAATCAGATACTCTAAGACTTTTACTCAAGTTGTTTTGGAATTGGTGACTTGTAACGTGTAGTGGAGTAAGTTTCACTGTAAGGTATCTGTACTTTTACTCAAGTATGGTTTTTAGGTACTCTTTACACCTCTGCCGCAGATTAGATGAGTCAGCCGTACGGCTTGAGAAGGCCTTAGACTTTCTATCAAGTGATAAAACAGAAATAGAGAAAGTTACAGGCACACTGGGTTCCCGCTTGTTCTGTAAACATTTGTGAATGTTGCTGCTATCATAGCGGGGACCCTACACATATCACTGAGAGCTACTATCAGTTGTTTTTGGTTCACCGACAGCAGATGGATAATAACTGGATTATGGATAATTAACAATCCATAATCCAGTTAATTAACATAATATTACGTCTTAAAATTGGACACATTACTAGTATTTGACCACAAATAGTAGGTATATAGTTTAAGGAATATATTACATTATTTACAAAATTAGTTGTTCCAATTTAGCATTTTGCAGGGTAATTTTTATTAAGTACATAAATACGTAAATGTATTTGTAGTATACTTAGCACGAAATAAATGTATTTCAAATACATTTGAGTATATTTCTGTTTGACTAGTGTCTTATACATTCGTGTTTGAATTTTTGCTTTTTTTTGTGTGGTTATTGTGATAGGACAGTCAGTAATAATGGATAAACTGTGAATCTGTTGATTCAGCTTTACAGAAAATCATCGTTATTAATTTAAAATCCTTATGCCTTATAGTCGCATTTAACAGATTAGAGCTGGGCGATAATATAGTTTACATTTTCCATCAATACATGCCATGAAGCAGTTCAGATTTGCTATAGTATATTCACATTTAGCAACAATAAACAATCCTGCAGCTGCAATGTGCTATATAGCATATATTCCTTTATGTGCGTGTACAGGATGTACTTATATATCCAACTTTTAATATATAACTGGGCGATAATATAATTTACCAGTAACAATTCTTTTTACACCAACAGTTCTTTCGCTATACATGACTAGGTTCTGTACAGTAAAGGTTTAGTTTGTTAACATTAAGATTATTAAATGTTTTTAAGTATTTTTTATTGTTTATTTTCTAATACATTTTTTAAATCAAAAGTTGTATGTTAACATCACTTAATGCACCGTGAAGTCACACTAACAAATATTAATAAATGGTGTAAAACACATTGCTCTTTGTTAGTGCATGTTAGCTTATGCATTAACTTGAGCAAACAAGATATTGTAAAATGTTACCAATGGTTATTTTGTATTATTGAGTTTTGCCGACCACCCTTTGAACATAATAATAATAATAATTTGTTACATTTATATAGCGCTTTTCTGGGTACTCAAAGCGCTTTACATGAAAGCGGGGGAAACTCCTCAACCACCACCACCAGTGTGCAGCATCCACCTGGATGATGCGACGGAAGCCATAGTGCGCCAGAACGCCCACCATACACTAGCTTATTGGTGGAGAGGAGACAGAGTTATGAAGCCAATCAGTGTATGGGGATGATTAGGAGGCCATGATGGTCAGAGGCCAATGGGCAAATTTGGCCAGGATGCCGGGGTTATACCCCTACTCTTTTTCAAAGGACATCCTGGGATTTTTAATGACCACAGAGAGTCAGGACCTCGGTTTAACGTCTCATCCGAAGGACGGTGCTTTTTACAGTATAGTGTCCCCGTCACTATACTGGGGCGTTAGGACCCACACAGACTGCAGGGTGAGCACCCCCTGCTGGCCTCACTAACACCTCTTCCAGCAGCAACCTAGTTTTCTCAGGTCTCCCATCCAGGTACTGACCAGGCTCAGCCCTGCTTAGCTTCAGTGGGCAACCAGTCTTGGGCTGCAGGGTGATATGGCTGCTCAAATGTCACAACATGTGACAACCCGTATTTGAACACAAGAACAACCAAGGCTGGATCCATGTCTTTTAATTCTGAACATGGCTACAAAATATGGCAAATGACAAGAAAACTCAGCATGCATTAATAGCAGTCCCAATCATTGTGGCACAAAATAAACTTTAACATTCAGAACTCAAATCTATAAAAATTTCTGATGCCTGAAACTGAAGCCACCAATGTCGAAAGAGCAAATACTGCCAAGTGTCACCTTGTGTGAACTATGTACTGAATTATACACAGGGAAAAGGTACCATGTTCTAAGTCTCTGATCATTTGAAATAGTGTTTCAAATAAGCACCAACACACATTTATTCAGAACTCTGAAGCTAAACAGTAATAAACAGTAACAGAAATTGCTACACACTTAATTAGATCCTAAACTTATCACATCAATCTCGTCGTCTTCATCACTGTCCCCTTAGGAGGCCATGATGGTCAGAGGCCAATGGGCAAATTTGGCCAGGATGCCGGGGTTATACCCCTACTCTTTTTCAAAGGACATCCTGGGATTTTTAATGACCACAGAGAGTCAGGACCTCGGTTTAACGTCTCATCCGAAAGACGGTGCTCTTCGGCAGTATAGTGTCCCCGTCACTATACTGGGGCGTTAGGACCCACACAGACTGCAGGGTGAGCACCCCCTGCTGGCCTCACTAACACCTCTTCCAGCAGCAACCTAGTTTTCTCAGGTCTCCCATCCAGGTACTGACCAGGCTCAGCCCTGCTTAGCTTCAGTGGGCAACCAGTCTTGGGCTGCAGGGTGATATGGCTGCTCAAATGTCACAACATGTGGAAACCCGTATTTGAACACAAGAACAACCAAGGCTGGATCCATGTCTTTTAATTCTGAACATGGCTACAAAATACGGCAAATGACAAGAAAACTCAGCATGCATTAATAGCAGTCCCAATCATTGTGGCACAAAATAAACTTTAACATTCAGAACTCAAATCTATAAAAATTTCTGATGCCTGAAACTGAAGCCACCAATGTCGAAAGAGCAAATACTGCCAAGTGTCACCTTGTGTGAACTATGTATTGAATTATACACAGGGAAAAGGTACCATGTTCTAAGTCTCTGATCATTTGAAATAGTGTTTCAAATAAGCACCAACACACATTTATTCAGAACTCTGAAGCTAAACAGTAATAAACAGTAACAGAAATTGCTACACACTTAATTAGATCCTAAATTTATCACATCAATCTCGTCGTCTTCATCACTGTCCTCTGTGCTGAGCACAATATCTGCAGTGATTGGCGGCACAGAGAAGGACTCGGACAAAGAACTAGAGACCTCCACAACATCAACATCCTCATCCTCTTCTGAAATGGCTATTGACCCTTGTGGGTTTCCGAGTTTCTCAAGAGGTGTGGTGGGCTCTTGTGCATGTGAGACAAAAGACTTGTCTGCCGTGTTTGTAAGCACTATGCCTTCTGTGCTGCATCTTTGCAAAGGAGAATCATTGAGAGAGTCAGCAGTCTCAGATCTTGGTTTGCTGTAGCCATCCTCCATCAGTCTCTCTCCTTTTGACATGCTGCAACCTGGGAATAAATAATTATTACAAGAGGGTAGTATTAATAAAAGCTGATTACAATATTATTATAAATGAGCAGTCTGTTAAATTTATACTATCTTGTCTAAATAAAGAATCAATCATTTAAAATGCCAGGGTTGTTACAGTTAACTAAAATTAAAACTATTAAAAATCATTTTTGTTAATCAAAATATAGCTGAAATAGAATACAATATAAATATTAGATGAAAAACTCAAGCACAAACAAAATCTTTTTTGGCAACTATGTGAAATAAAATAAGCTTAAGTACTAAAATGAATAAAACTAAAACTGAAATAAAAATAAAGAGACACAAAAATGACAAAGGCACAGAGCAAAATTAATAAAACAAACTAAAATTAAATAGAAAATAGAAAATATGAAAACATTTAATTCAAAATTATATATACTATAACTGTACATAAGCAAATAAATAACACTGCTACAAGTTCATTTAGGCATGACAAGCATTATAATAACAAAAATCTAGGTTAATTTTGCCAAAGATTATTTGTTTTTGAAAATTAATTTTATGTGAACACTAGATGGCAGCAAAGGCAATCGATATGTAAAATAGGAGAAATTACCATTAAAGGCAGGGTATATGATTTTTCAAAAACACTTTAGAAAACTGATTTGGGCCAAATCGCAAAACAAACTTGTAGCCAATCAGCAATAAGGGGCGTGTCTACTCGTGATGTGGAGGAGAGCGCGTTCAGTGCATGGGACGGACATTATGGTGATTTCAAATATCAACATTGGCTACCAGAAATCACTTACTCTGCCTTTAACAATTAAATATCCAAATCTGTAATATTGACAGAGGACTGAATTATTTTGAGCTCTTACCATTAGCTGATGGCAGATTCTGCTGAAGAAAAACGTTCTTCTGGTTGCCAGCCTCTTTTATTCTCCCACTTCTTTCCTTATCTTTTTGGTTTATTCTGCTTTTATTGTGCCCTTCAACCCTGATTCTAGCATTCTTCTCTTTATTCTCAGTAATTTTCACCTCAGCTCCACGCACATGCGCATTTGTCAGCCTTTCCTTTCCTTTCTGTTTTTTCACAGTCCACATTCTGTTGTCTTTTCCCTTGTGCTCTTCCTCTCTCTTCTGGTGATTCTCCAAGATCTTTTTCATTAACTCAAAAGCAGAAAGAGCTGGACGGGACCCAGTGGATTTATTCTTTGTGGCTGATAGCTTGGGTTGTGAACTCCCTGTACTGCACTGCGCCTTTAACGTACTTCCTTCTAGAAGAGTCTCGCTTGTGTCTCTTTTAGCATGTCCCACTTGTTTCTCTTTTACAAGACTGGACACTTTGTGAGCATGCAGCTCTGAGGATTTTGACCGATCCAAAGCCTTTGTTGTTTGTGTGACACACTTCACGTTTTGGCCACTAGCTGTGTTTATGACTTTGCTTAATGCACTTGCAACACTGCAGCTTGAGTCAGCTGTGCTACCGGTGCACTTTTCTTCACTATGCAGCCTGCCAGTTTTTTTCTTTCTCTTTTTCTCCTTTAGTAGAGAAGCGTCTACCTTCGTCTTCTCTGTTTGTTCTTTTTTTCTTTTTCTCTTCCGTTTGGTTGGGAGCTCGTCTCTCCTAGGCAGTTCTTCAATAACATCCAGCTTCCTCTTCCTACTCTGGCTCCTGGTCATCCTGCCAGATTTAGGCTTCTGTTCACTTTGCTGTCCTGTTGATTTCTCCATTTTCACACCTGACACCTGCCAAAAACGTGATGGTTTCTGCGGTCTACGTGCAGATGATACTCGTGGTCTGTTCTTGGATAATGAGGCTTTTGATCCCTGTGTTGTTGTGTTCACAGAAGTGGCATGTGCATTTGTGTGGACTGTGTAACTCTGTCCACAGGTCCGGGTTCCATCTGTTATGTTGTGCACCATCCCATCTTGGACGTCTGAATCGCATACACCAACGTGTTGCTCAAACGTTCTCAGAAAACTATCAAGTATGTCGGTCAGCTCACCTTCAGACTGCGGTTGGACTATACCCAGATCTGTGAGTTTAACTGAGGACTGTGTTCTTGTATGATCCATGTTGGAATCTACAGTTATTCCATTTTGATTGCTGGGCATAAATGGGAGCTGTGCAATGACGTCATCTATAAGCCAGTCCATTGGCTGAGTGAGGCTGGTCTGATTGGCTGCTGGGAGAGCTGCGGTATGCAACATGGATAGAGCTGGAGGGTTCAAGGTTTTCTGATCAGGTGGTGAAATTCCACTGAAATTTTGGGAAACATCTGGTTTGGGCAAGGGACGTTTGCGGGGGCGACCTCTTCGCCTTCTTTGAGGTGGAGCTGTATCCTATGGAAAAAGAGACAAGTGTTTTAATTCAGAGAACATTAGAGAAACTGCTTAGTTGCATTTATAATCTGAAGGGGTCATATCATACATTTTTATATTTAATATATTGTATATTTAATATACTTTTAATTTAAAAGTTTTGGGGCCAGTAAGATTGTTTAAAAAAAAAAAAAAGTTTCTTATGCTCATCAAGGCAGCATTTGTTAAAAATAACTATAGGAAAAACAGTAATAATGTGAAATATTATTACAATTTAAAATAACTGTTTTCTGTTTTAATATATCATATGTATTTTGACATCTGTGATGTCAAAGCTGAATTTTCAACAGCCATACTCCAGTCTTCAGTGTGCCCATGACCCTTCAGAAATAATTTTAATATGCTGATTTTGATATGACTAACATTTCTTATTATTATTTTTGTGGAAACCGTAAACATTGTTTTTCATGAATCTTTCATGAAAGTTCAAAAGAAGTGCATTTATTAAAATAGATATTTTGTAACATTATAAATGTCATTTTTGTTCAATTTAAATCATACATTTTTATATTTAATATATTTTATATTTAATATACTTTTAATTTAAAAGTTTTGGGGCCAGTAAGATTGTTTTAAAAAAAAAAAAAAGTTTCTTATGCTCAAGGCAGCATTTGTTAAAAATAACTATAGGAAAAACAGTAATAATGTGAAATATTATTACAATTTAAAATAACTGTTTTCTGTTTTAATATATCATATGTATTTTGACATCTGTGATGTCAAAGCTGAATTTTCAACAGCCATACTCCAGTCTTCAGTGTGCCCATGACCCTTCAGAAATAATTTTAATATGCTGATTTTGATATGACTAACATTTCTTATTATTATTTTTGTGGAAACCGTAAACATTGTTTTTCATGAATCTTTCATGAAAGTTCAAAAGAAGTGCATTTATTAAAATAGATATTTTGTAACATTATAAATGTCATTTTTGTTCAATTTAACGCATTCTTAGTGGTCTTGCTGACACCAAACTTATGAATGATAGTGTATTTTTTATATTTTAAATTTTTATTTGACATACGCGTCATGCATCATTGCATTCAAGTCATAGCAGAAGTTCAGAACGAGACATTTTAGTCTCCTTGAACAGACTTTTTGGTTCTGAGAGAACGTTTTGAGTATTCCAAGTTACAGTATGTTTTCATGTATTCATAGCAGATGCTTTTATCCAAAGCAACACTTCTTCCTCAAAAGATCAAGGAAAATTAGATTGCTTATGATATGATCCATTTAAATCATTCATTCAAACAGAAATAAATAAAAATAGAAGATTTTTGTTATTTTTATGTCATACCTCCTCATCTGAAGATGTCGTGAGACACCTACCTGACACACTGGTTCTACCAATCTGCCTCTGCTTCCTGTATGTCTCTGCCTGGGTCTCCCCCTTGATCTGCCTCCCTCTCCTTCCTCTTTCTTCGCTCCTCTGCCTTGTCGTCTCCGTTTAAGCATCTCTTGATTCTTGAACATTTGTCTGGTGTCTAGCATCCTGCCAACCCTACCCCCACCTTTCCCCATCCAGGCCGACCTCGCCACTCTTCCGTACCTATTCATATTTTGCTCTCTTTTACAAATTCTCAATCCTTCTCCCTTCAAAGCAAATCCTCCGCGTGCTCCCGCCCTCCGCACCCTCGTCGCCCTTCCCTCAGTTTTGACGTCCCCTCTCATCCCTCTCTGACTCTGCTCCCTTTGCCCTGCACCCTGCACGATGTTGGTGTCAAGAAAGTAATTGATAAAACCTGGGATATTGTTCTCAAACCGTGCAAATGCTTCTAAAACACACTCCTCACCCTCTAAAACGCCCCCCAATGCTGGCTGGCCCTCTCTGGCCAATGGCTCAACATTTGTACTATGAGAAGGGTAAGGGTGAGGTGGCAGTGGGTTTGGAGGCTGTTGGTGTGAAGCTGAAGGTGGACATACGTAGACCTGGGGCAAGCTGGCCGGTCCACTCGCTGTGGGATACATTGCATTTTCAGGGACCACATCCATGACTTGAAAGGAAGGCATGTTCTCTGGATTACCCTGGATGTTTTGAAGTGTGGCCAGGGTGATATCAGAGCCATCGGTGTACGTGCAGAGCCCCTGATCGGTCCTCCATGACGACGTCCCAATCAGATGAACACTTTCAATGGTCTCTTTGGGGTTTTGACATTCAGAAGGAACAGCCTCGGTTTGACACTCTCTCTCCACCATCTCTTTCATGCACTCCGTCTGTGTGTTTCGCTCAGTTGCCGGCCTCTTTGATACTTGCTGAGGTATGTCGATGCCGAGTTTACAGGCTGCTGAGAGGACTTCCTCTTTGTCCTCGTTCAACTGACCGGAGTACAGCAGACTGACCAGACTGAGCAACGTACAGGCCTCCACGGCTTGAACTTCAATCAGTCTCCTCTGCCCATTCCGGAGTGATGGCATGGCTGACAGAGCCCCACAGAGCCAAGGACTGAAGGCAGACAACACACAGCTGTGCACCGGCACAGACACACCTGGGCAGGGTGGAGAAAGTACAGTAAACATAATGAACGATGGAAAAAATTATTAATGAGTAGAAGATGTACTTTGTATGTCAAACCTCGAGTCTGCAGCACAATGTCACAGAACTCTGCCCTGCTCTGCTGTTTTTGCAGCTCTTTTACGAGAAGCGTCTCGAACGTCAACATCTGAAGATATACAGACACAAATGAAAAGCATTGTAAAATATGCAAGCTGTAAAATATTGAATGATGTCGTGTCTCCGTGCAGCTGTGCAGGACTAACGTTAGACAACTAGGGTCGGGACAGTGCACGCTGTTCACATGGGAGATATGCAAACAGTTGTTAACATGATTTACTTTTCATACACTCGCATGGAAATTAAAAACAGATAAATATCTAATTGTGTTTAAGCGACTACAAACGTTCCGCGCTTGATATTTAAACCAGCCCACCTGCCAACAGTCAAAACAGTCTTAGCGAATAAAAACTAACTTCTGACCTTTCGTCGTTATGACATGAGAAAATGCAACAACGACTGTCGCTTATCCAATTTTGTCTCTCCTGTTTGTGTCGAGATCACTGGGTTTAAAGAAGGGTCGCACGTGCATCACTACAAACTCGTGGAGCTCTGCAGGTTTGTGCAAATGACCGCGCCGAACTAACTCTAACATCTCCAGAGTGGCTGGCTTTCTCTCGCTCACACTTTATTAATTAATTAATTAATTTATTTTACTTTTTTATTATAGCTGCACAAGTGATGTTTTTTTTTTGCGCCCGCGTGAGTGGCAAAATTGCATTTTTAAATAAAATGTTAGTGGCGCTTGAATGTGTTCTGACTGGTTGTTTGGGTGGCTGCTATTTGGGTGTTTATACCTCCGGTTTCACAGACAAGGCTTAAGTCTGACTAAAATGTAAGTCTGAGCTGTGTCGACTGAAAGAAACTTGCACTGACGGATCTTAAAATATATCAGTGCCTTTGTTTTGTCTCAAGATGCACACCAGTAATGTGTTTTCTAAGGCATGTTTATGAATTTTTTTTTTAAATGTCCTAATTGAACTATGACCTAATCCTGGTTTAGTCTAAACCCTGTCTGTGAAACCAGGTCATAGTTTTCGTGGTAACAAAGAGAACTCTGATCATCATTATTTAATATTTATCTGTTTTATTATAGAGTATATTTGAAATATTGTCAAAGCAAATGTTTGAAATAAAGAAACAGAAAAACACACACAACTGACAGCTGATTGACAACGCAAAATAATTTAGCAAATCATGTGGGCCGAAACATCGCGAGATTTCGGTAATCCACAGAGGTCGCGAGGTCGATTTAGTTGACCAACCTCTTGCGTTTTTCCGGAGTGAAGCGTGTGCGCCCCGAGCGGTGAAAATAAAGCCAAATTTTACCTTCTCACAAAACCTGATAATCAACAACATATCGCAGGTATTGATAAATTTCATATGACATTTTTGGTAATATAAATACGCGCATAATTTGCAGGTATTTCAGGGCTGTCAGTGGTTGTAGTCGGCTGTGTGAAGAGTTAGCTTGTCGGCTACATTGTTAGCTCCTCTGGGTAATGAAGTGTTCTAGATTTTTCCGACATATTTCAACTGAAATTAATAGGCTACTTTATAACTACATGATGGACCATTCGTCTGCATTTATTTAAGTATTTTAAAAAGCCTGGCAACGATTGACGTGTCAATAATATTTACAAATCTGTAATTTTTGCCGGTTGATTTTTCAGTTGTCATGACTAGTCAGTCAGCATTTACCTTGACAAGTGTAGTTCTGCTTTGGGTGGACATCATGAATGTATCTCCTACCGATCTGTAATAGTGCCTTGGTGATAAACAATACAAATTTTTTGTCAACAAATTGTAATGAAAGCTTCATGTTTAAATAAGCATAATCAAAAAGCATAGAGCTAGTTAGAGCTAATGTGCTTGTGTTTTGTCCATCCCCACACCTGGCAAACCACACAAAGACCAACTGCTTAAAAACTGTTTCAGGGTTTAGAAAGATTAACTCAAGTCACTTTGTCCTTTTCTTCGTTCCTAAAGTTAATAAGCAACCTGGGTACATGAATGAGATGTTTATTTTCTGAAGTTCTGCATGCAAGCTTATTAAGTTTATTTCTCTCAAGTAACAGAGCCTTGTAATATTTGAAAGATGGCAGACACAGAGCAAAGGAGTCCACCTCCTCAGTCAGGCCCTGTGGTAAGTGCAATGACTTTTTAGGTTTGATACCTTTCTTTCAATTACTATACAATGACCCGACACACACACATACATATATATTGCTTTTTAAGTTGCTTTTTATTCCAGAATGTTTGTATATTCATTATAACCTTGACTCAGGATCATATTAATGTATTGCAGCAATTCCTCTTGAGTAATAAGCTGGAAACAGCTATGTGGCTGTCACGGCTGTTCACTGTCTACTGCTCCATCATGTTCATTCTGCCACTGCTTGGGTGAGTCATGTTCTTTTACAAGGCACTTTCACAAGCTTTTTTACGGTCCTGGTTTGTTCAAAAACTGGGTGCAACTTATGTGTTAAGGCACTATGACAAACCTCTAGCCTGTCAGAGACTACAAAAAACAGTCTTTGATGTGAAACCCAACTAGATTCTTTTCCTTGGAGGATTCAGAAGACAAGTCTCAATTTAGAATATTTCACAAGTTCTCATGTATTTCATATTTGAACACAAAATGTGTACAGCCTTTCCAAAACACATCTCTGTATTGAACCTTTGCATGCACATTCATGACCCTAAATGAGAAAAAGTCACAAATTCAAGAAGAAATATCAGTATTTCAAGCAATTTGAAAATTGAGTGTGGGTCAGATTGACCCCAACACAATAGGCATTAACAATATTGTACTTTGTGGGATCACATTAGTAAAATGAGGACTATTTAGGGTAGTAAGGACACATCCACACTCACAGATTTATTTTTAAGTCAGTGATTGGAAGAATAAGAATAGCTTTTTCTCTGTCCAGGCCCCAAGCAGCTACTAACTTCTATCAGAGGGCATTGCTGGCAAACGCCTTGACCAGCGCTCTGCGTTTGCACCAGAGACTTCCTCACTTTCAGCTGAGCAGAGCCTTCCTGGCCCAGGCCTTACAGGAGGACAGCTGCCACTATCTCCTCTACTCCCTCATCCTAGTCAACTCCTACCCAATCACAAGTATCCTTTCTCAAAGACCCCTTCCTTTGGAAATATCTTGGGGGGAAAATATCTGTTTTTCTTGCGCATCATTTTATCTTATGTATCCTTGACTTTTGTTCTTAGTGAGCATTTTTCCAGTGTTCCTCTTCTCACTTCTCCATGCCACCACCTACACTAAAAAAGTCCTCGATGTAAGTCTCTGCCCTTTTCATTTATATTGCTGAGAGATGGGTATTTGTCATAATTCCATCCTGAGTTTTGTCTGTTTCATTTGTTCTCAGACCATGGGCCCAAACAGCCTTATGTTTGTGAGGAACTTTTTGAACAAGCTCACAGCCAATCAGCAGAACATCTTAAAGTTTATCGCTTGCAATGAAATCTTTTTGATGCCAGCCACAGTCTTTATGCTCTTCAGGTAAGGCCTGATGGTCAGCTGTTTTGTCCGGTGTTACATTTGTTTTCAACCCTTTAAATCCTGACATGAAATAAGTCAGAAAAAAATATATTTTTTAAATGGAACAGTTTATAGAAAAATCGAAAATAAATAAATGTATGTGTTATATCAGGCTTTTATGGTTCATATAGTATGATAAAGGAGAATTTAGAGCTCCGAGAGAGAGAAAACACCTCAGTTTTATTCAGAGGCACAAACCGAGCAATTTTTTTCATTTTATTGTAGCTCTTATTTATATATGGTCAAAAAAAGAGATGACATTCTGATAGCTTGTGATGAAAATCAATGAGATCTTTGTAATAGTGTACAAGAATTCTAACATAAATGCATATAAATATCAGTTGTCATTCTAAATCTCCCAATAATGTCTTGGTGAGATGATATTTAAATGCTTAGTTTTCTGATCAAAGCTCTAGTTTTTATTGTTGGGTCAAAACATAATGCAATGCAATACAATGATGATTGTGAGATGTACAAATAAACTTTCCTCAAAAACCTTATTTATCATATTAGATACATTTTAACACGATTTTCCCCAAAAAATATATATGGATAGTCAGATAAACCAAAAATGTTTCAGTCTGGTAAGTGTTCATCTTGAACTAATTGTAACAACATAAGTTATACAAAACAATATAAGTTATTCTTACTTTTACTTTATAAAAATCATTAACCCTTGTGTGGTGTTCATATTTTTGTTACTCAGCCAGTGTTCGTGGGTCTGGTGGACCCGCTGGAGTTTTGGGTTTTTAATTCAACACAATCAAAAATTATATGTTAAAATACTCAACAGATGTTTACTTCATCCCAATTGCAAGCAATTGTACAGTGGGTGTACAGTGAGTGGTCATTGAAAATTTGTTCTGATATATGTTCTTCACAGAAAATGAGCCAAGGCCAATGAGTTTGAAAAAATAATTAATAGTATAATTTTTCTTTTGATAAAAAGTGAAAACGGGTCCCACAGACCCAAACACCATACAAGATTTCACACCAAAACAACATGAGTACCACAACCTGAAAGGAGACATATTTAGGTAGTTTGATAATTTTAAGTTGCTAAAAAATATAATCAGATTGTGCAGGGTTTTTCAGCAAAGTTTTAATAATTTAGTCCTAGAAATGTGTGTATCAAATATGACACAGTAGGCTTTATTGGGTTAAAAAAGTAGTGGTTTGTTGCTGGTAAAAAGCACGATTAAAGCCATGCCGTGTTTCTTGTAATAAGATGGAAGGATGTTTGGTTTGTAATTCACAGTGGCCAAGGCAGCTTGCTTCAGCCATTCATCTACTACAGGTTTCTCACTCTGCGCTATGCCTCAAGACGCAACCCATATTGCCGGTAAGAATCTTGTATCTGAAAGACTAGTATTAGATGTACACATGCACACTTTACCCAAAATATGGGGTAATGCATGCTGTTCTCAATTACATGAAAAATTAATAATTAGAGCCAATTAGAAGCTCAGCAGTTTTTAAATGTATAATAAATATATTATAAAAGTGTATAAAAGCCCAGTATCAGTGTTCACAGTGATTTTTGTGGTTTTGTCCCATCAGGACTCTGTTCACGGAGCTGAGGATTTTACTGGAGCATTTTGTGATGAAGCCCAGCTGTCCAGCCTTCTTCAGGCGGATGTGCCTCAACAGCATTGCCTTCATTAGCCGCCTTGCTCCCACCGGTGTCTAACTAACATGCACATACTACTACACACAGTTCACAGATTGGGACAGTTTTGAGATTGACTTACAAACAAGATGGCCAAGTCTGATCACTCAGAGATGGATGTTCTCCTCTGCACTGAGGCATTTGCTATGTTTGGAGAGACTATCAATCTGACCGACTACATCCAAAAAACAAAACAGCAAGATGTATCTCTGTGCACAGTTGTCTGATAAGGGGTACAACTGTTTTCAGTTCATTACAGTTTTTATATTCATATTGATTTTCAGGGGGTAGAGAGGAGCCCTTGAGATGTTTAATCTTAACTGTTAGGGTAAATAGATATAGCTCTTAATAGCTT